ACAAGCATTGGAGCTGAGTGTGAATGAGAATCTCACATCCAATCCCCTATCTTCTTGTATTCCAAGTGTATTCTTTTTATATGCGTGGTACAGTACTGGATATGAGCAATTCCAGATATGCTGTAGGAAGATCGAGTTCAAAGGAAAGTGCTTTCTGTCCACAAAAAGGATATAACAGATGTCTATTCACCCGTTCATTTGCTGGGCTACAAAATTTAGAAGGGCATATTTGGGAACCTATTGTTTTGCAAATAAAACATGAATATTTTTGTGCAAAGTTTTGCCTTACCAGTAAGTCTATTTTAGAAGCACAAAGTGAACACAGATGTTTCCAAAGCACGCAATTCAATAAGGAATGTATTTTGCAGTCAGTGGGCTTCCAACCTAGCCCCACATTGTAAAGATATTCTGAAAGGATTGAGATATTACATTTGCCTTCCCCACAACCCTTCCTATATTCAGTTTATTGTTCCCTTTGCTTACCATGGTGTGAGTTTCACACCCCTGACCTTTAAAGAGCCTGGTAATGTGGGAGACTGGACCCTGTGGGGTCCAGTCCACAAAAAGAAAAAAGAGTGCTAAAATGCTTTCACATTATATCTGGCCACTGCAGTATCACCCTGAGCTCAGTTCCAAGCCAGGATACGTTTTATAGGATCTTACTGTGCCTTAGCCAAGCCACAGAGCCATTTCAGCAAGGCACTGCATAAAGCAAGTTGTAAGTGCTACAGATGTATGTGAAGTGAAATGCTGATAAATCTGTGACTGCCTATAGGAAGCACAATTCCTTTATCACAAAAACCAGCATTTGAGAAAGTGCAATTTTCTATTGGCTTGGTTGTTCAAAAGACAAATACCCTAATTACTTTCTGAAGCCTTTGCTACATCTGAAAGAGCGTAGGCTCTTTTCTTTCCCAGTCTTTTTTCGTGGCTTGTAAATGGGCCAGGAAACAGAGCCCAGCTGACTTCAGCAGGGCTTTGCACTGGCTCTTGTATTTCTAGGAACACACCTCTTTGCAGGACAAGGGCCCAAACTGTCCCGGGGCTCAGTGTAAAACTTGGGAAGGACTCTCTGTGGGTGATCTTTTTTTTTTTTTTTTTGTAGTAGAGCTGAGATTAAAAAAAAGTGTCAATTATGTGGGAAATTTTTTACATATGTTTTGATTAGAAACAAATGATACGTTGAAACTTTGAATTGATGTGATTAGAAATTTTGGCCTAGAAGATGAATAGCAGTGGCCGTTGTTGAGTTTATTCAATGAGCAGGAGAAGGGAAGAGTGGGTCATCCCTAGGAGGCCCCCCATGGATAGTGGAAGGGAGACTTCAACAGGAATTAGGTGCCTAGGCATTTCTGAAAATTCTACTAGGTGCTTGTGTGTCTTTAGGTGCCTAAATAGCACCTCGTCTTCAAAGTCCAAGCTGAGTGCCTGTGCACTAGACAATACTACTTCAATTTTATTGTCCTGGCTTCTGATCGGTGAAGAAGAGCTTGAACTTTTGTAACGGGCTATTATCTTGTTGGGAGGAAAAATTACTGGACACAGGCGCCAGTTACTCTTTTCTAGCCTATCTTTATTTTTATTACACACACAGTCTTTGTTTTTAACCATTTTTTGCTGAAGGCAATAACAAAATCAGCAGCAGACTTTACATATAACCACACGGCAGTTCTCTGGTAAAACAGAGCTGTGAGCTTTGACTCTCCAGCCAATCTGCTTCACTCCAACATTGCTTCTGAAATTGTGGCCTGTTGTACTCAGGTGATGTGTCACTCTAAAACCTCATAGGTATAGAGTCACCATGTCTTTATCTCTGAATAAAACAAAGGACAAACATGTTTAACCTATTATCTTTAAAGAGGAACTCAATAGATGGGTCTATTTATTTGTATTAACCGTAGTGCCCAGGGACCCTAATGAAATATCATAGTGCTAGCTTTTCTCCCCCCGCCCACCCCCACAACCTCCCCAGGTTTGAAAGTATCTTCTTTCCCCATTGGTCCATCTGGTCAGGTGCCAACTAGGTTAATGGAACTGATTAACCTTTTACAGGTAAGTGATTCTGTACCTCTGAACAGGAGGGATTTGATGTTACTGCATATATAAAGGTTGTTACCCTTCCCTTTATATTTATGACACATGCTGTGGAAGAACTTGCTTCTGAGAACTCACACTATAGGATTATGATAAGTTGCAATAGATGAAACTGACAAATAGGGTGGAGAGGATGAGATCAGTAAAGTCAGCACATTTTAAATAATCATTAGTCCCACCTGTCTAGCTATTGTCAGAATGCAGTGTAATGTAGGCATCATGTCTAAGAAAGTCTACAGGAGGTATTTGAAGCAAAAGGAGGTGACAGCAGCTGTACGGATTTTGATAGATTTCCCATGCGCATGGGATGAAAGCTTGTGTTACTAAATATGGTGGATAACAAGGAAGCTTGGTGGATGTTTATGGGGAGAGCCTTCCGAGCATGAGGAGCAGTGTGGGAGGAAGCACTAAAGTGCTTGGTAGAAAATTTAACAAGTACTGTAGCTAGAGGAAGCTGGCCTCATGGACTGGTTAGAGGCGAGTGTTGACCGTTTAATAACAAATTAGGGATGATATGTGGGGTTGGAATGGGCAGAAGGTCTTGAAAGTGAATACAAACTGCTTATGTTTGGTGCAATAGAGAGAAGGGGGAACCAGTGGACTGATGCAAAGAGAAGGATGATGTGAAAGTTATGGGCTCGGAAAATTGTCTTTGGAGCAGCATTCTGAATGGACGTGATTGGGGAAAGATTGGATTAGTCAAGGCCCGAGAAAAGGATGTTTCAGTAATGGAAACATGAGATGATGATGTAGAGAAGTTTTGGATCTGTGGCTGGATAAGAAAACTGTATCTTAAAGATGTTATGCAGAAAGAATCAGCAAGACCTGGAAATAGCCGGGATATGAGAATCTAGAGAGAGGTCCAAGTTGAAGAGGACACTCAGGTTATGGGCCTGAGTGACATACAGGATGGTAGCGTGATTGGCTTGTGATGAGGAAAGTCACATGCAGCTGAGGTGGAAACTTCTTTGGAGGAAACCTCTTTGATACTGAACATTTTAATAAGATCTAATGTCAGTGAAAATAAAGGTGGCAGGTTAGTTCTGTTCAGTGTACAGACTTAGGGTTGGCAATATTGTCAATAAGAGATGTATTCTTTGTTGGTTGCTTCAGGTCTCAAGTTCTGTCCCTGATATGCAGTCATGCCCACCTTACCTTCTGTAGTTGGTTTCTCAAGTTATTCCCAAGCTCCCACCCTTTCCCTCTGTTTCCTTTCAGTACTTTCTGCCAGACATGAAGCTCACCCACCTTGCAGTATGCACTGGTAATGGATGAGTAGTGCTGGTGGAGATGATGCTTAATTGTCACTTTGTAAGCCACTGCAAATTGCTACAATGATTGTCATGGGCAGTTGGCATGCATGAGCTGCAGCTAACTTTATGTCTGATTCTTGGGTAATCCAAAGGAATATCCCATCACGTTACTGAAACAAAAAGGAACCACCCATCAATCCTCACATTGGGTTTGCCACAGATTTTCCTGTGTATGCCCTATGAATGCTAATGGTTCACTTAAAAACACTCATAATTAGCAAAAACATGACATACTCGAGGTGTTGTTTTGGTTGGCAACCAGGTATCTCTGATATAATAGCAAAGTTCAAAGTTAACATATTGGTCTGAGTTAAAATAATCTGGTATTGAGCAGAGTCCCTAGTAGAAGAGAAGATTGCAGTGATGGCTAGAGAATTACTCAAATCCATTAGGGTGTATGGAGTATTCACATTATATTTGACCCTGTATTTCTTTGTGACAGCAGTTTAGTTCTTTCTGTAATGGAAATGAAATACTATGAAGGATTTCAATACATTGCTTGTATATCTTATATTTTATTATTTGTATTGCAGAAGTGCCTAAAGGCTCCAACTGAGATCAGAGTCCAATTGTGGTAGGCACTATACAAACTCACAAACAGATACTTCTTGTCCTTAAGAGACTAGAATCTAAGCAGACAAAGGGAGGGAGAGTTAACGCTATTCTCATTTTAGAAAATGGGAACTTAAGGCACAGAGGGGTTAAATGACTTGCCCAATGTCACATAGGAAGGCTGTGGCAGGACCAGGAGTTGAACCCAGGCCTCCTGAGGTCTGGTTCAGTGCATTAACCAAAGACCATCTTTCCCCTTGCTGTTGAACAGCAAAAGGGCAGAGCAACTGCTGAGACATGTAAAGCAAATGTGCCTCAAATGGCAACTATTTTGACAGTGCTAGTTGCATAACCCCTAAATTGGAAGACTCCAGAAATCTGAACAGTCTCTCAAGTCAAACTACACTAGTATCTATCTACCAACCAACTGGCTATCTTGAGCTGCAAGGTACACAACGGTGGCATCCTGAGTATCCAGCTAAAAGGCACAGCATACTGGTAACAAAGAACAAAGCCATGGTCCTGCCCTAAAGGCTCTATCCTCACAGATGCACTACTTGCCTATGCTTCTTTATATAAGGGATGGTATAGGGAAGGGAGTAACTCCCTGCTGTTTGTTGTAGTTTAGCTATTTGAGCACAAAGCTGGAGTGGATCACAAAAGGTGTGTTTTTGGGTTCCCTGCATAGATCCCTGTGTGCGCAGCAGCCAGTGCAAACAAGAGGTCAGAGCTGCGTGAAGTGAATCCTTTCTGTTGTTACCTATTCTTTATACAGGCTAGCTCCCTGATGTTGCAGATGCCAGCGCTGCTGGTGCTGGCAACGGCTACAGAAGGCTATTCAGCCTCCCTTTGCAGTCTGCTCTAGCCCCTGATTCACAGGGAGATACAGTAGCTGTAGCAGCACATTAGACTGACTTTTTTCTCTTCTCTCTTTTTCTCTCCCCCCACCCTCGAGACCTCTGAGCTTTGACGTCACGTGTGCTCCTTTCAGTTGCCATAGCAGCCCCATTCCCCAAGCCCTCTGCCTGTCTCCTCTGGTAGGTTCCACAATGGTACAGCCAGCATCACGCTGCACAATGGTTTCCAGGCAGTGAAAGAGGGTGATTCAGCAAGCCACTCTTTCTTCCCCTTTTATTTCATTATTATCATATGTTTTCCCTCCCTTTTCCCCCCTCTGCTTTATTTTTTTCCCCAGGGATTTTATTTAGTACACTTTTTTAAAAAATTGGTTTGCCTTGAAGTCACCTGCCCATCATTTTAATTATTATTATTTTTTTAATACTCCATCTCTTCCTCCTCAGTTTGGAATGTGGTTAAAAATACCACGTAAGGTTGCAGTTTGAGGGAAGGGTTGCTGTACCGGGAGCATAGTTCGCAGGCACGGAATGGTAGGTGGTTGATACTAATATTCTACGACTAACCTGCCTTTGCAGGGTGGGGTGATGAATATTGATTGTTGATTTAAAAAAAAAGAGAGAGAGAGAGCCAGGTTAACGAAGTAAACTGCTAACCGATGCAAGAAGGCAGCAGTGTTACAGAGTTTGTGGCCGGAGGACCATCATTTTCCTGTTTTTGGGTGTGTATGAACATTTCTCTTCGGGCTGTTTAGGTGACCGGTGGTTTTAGGAGCCGTGCAGAGGCACAGCATGGATGGGGTGATAGTGATTTAACAGCTGGTGCATGTAAACAGTAGGGCTGTACTCAGCCTCCTTACCTCTGAAACTGCTGGGGCTTTCTTTGGGAGATAACTCTTGGCTTTTAATTCAGCAACGTAAACATTTTGTTTGGGTGTGTATGGGTCTAGAGCTATATAAAATAATAACTGTATAGTCATTTTTAAAAAGGAATTGCTGTTACTAAACACCTTTTGTGATCTGGAAGCTTAAAGAACTGGCCTTTTGCATAGGGGTTAAATTTAAGAAAAAAGATGGTCTGGGGGGAAGAATGAGTGTGTCAGAAAAATTGTGGTGTTGGGATGTGTGTGGTAGTTGATGGAAATTGTAGGCAGATGGAGGGATGTCTTGAAGGAAGTGGTCTCTTAAGGTAGGCTTTACTCCGTTGCATGACTTCCAGACGTAATTAAACAAAAACTGCTGTATTTTATAGAGACACCAGAAGCCCTTAGAAAAATTATGTGCAAAATAATTGCCCAGTGGTATGGTACAGAAGAGAATCCAACAATTTTTTCGACTGCAGTGAAATCAATGTAGCTTTACAGAAAAATCCTCACGCAGCTCTGGCAGCACAGTTATTGCAACAGAATTAACTATTTTGCTTTTTTCTTTTGCAAAGGGGGGCTTATTACAAAATAATATGCATTTCCCTTGGAGAGTGAAATGCCACAGCCATGCCTAATAAGCAAACCTGTTCCCCCGGAGAATCTGAATGGGCTTGTACCTTAAGTGATTGTTAGCTTGTTTACATGGGCTCCTTTTTACTGCATAGCCTCACCATATCCTCAGTGCATCCTTCCCCTTCTGTGATTTGTTCAGTGTGACTTTTGCAAGAGACCTGGTGAAAGATGAACCCCAAGCCAAAATATAAATACAGATTTTACCAAGGGAAATGAAGACACAGAGGGAGCGTTTTCATGGGGAAATATTAAATAACATAGTATGCATTGTCAAATCAAGGATCCTCTCTGAAATGAGCTGGCTGCTGGACATAGATATTTTGTCATGCATGGCTAATTTTTTTTTAAAAAACAGGGGGTGGAGGAGTGAGAGCATGCATGTACATTATACTGGAATTGTTTGGGTTATGTTCTGCCACATGCAAACACATTTGATTCAGATTACCAGGACATAAGGAGATGTATAAACACCGTGATGCTCTGACCCTAACTCAAAACATGTCAGTATTGGTGACTGCATAGTATATGCTCGAGTAAAGTGCCCTTTTTTCCCTGGTTTTCTTTCTGCCTGCTGGGTACTTTTTCTAGACCCCCAAAGTGGCATAAAAATACCTGTTTTTGTTCGATGGGGCAATTGATTTTTCTCCATTGGGAACACAAATGTGAATCACAGACATAGTTGGACCTCAGAAAGCCATTAAACTGTATATTTTCTCTCCCACTCTCTCATATTCACATACATGCAATGTTATACACATGCTCTGAAACAGCAGCAGGATAATTTGTTAGGGTCCTGTTGTTTTAGTATGGTGTTACTGAGGAGCTTCATGATTCCAGAAACATTTCTAAAGTGGATAAGGGCAAAAAGCACTTCACATGAAATATTAGCTGCCTTCAGCTGACTCTGCTTGCATGCTTGATATTAGAGAACATTTCTCTTGTTGTTGAGAGAAGTGTGTATGTGCTGGAAGGGTCGGTTTATGAGCAGATCCCAGCAGGGGTGAATGTGTTGTTTGCTGTCAGTCTCTGGCATGTCTGCAGCCATTATTTAATGATTTCATAGTACTGGTCAATAATTCCAAGGCATGATATTGTTCAAGTGTTGATTTTTTGAAAGATAGATTTGATATTACAACGAGAGATCTACCAAATTTCCCTTTGTGTTATCCTTTTGGAATATGATAGAGCCCAGTCCTGCTTTGCACTGTGTTGCAAAACTCTCCTTAACCTCAGTGGGAGCAAAAGCAGGCCTCAATAAAACAGACTCCTTTATTACGCATACACATATGCTATTTAAAAAAAATCCAATTATTGGAAAATACAGAATTAAGAAAAAAGTCCTTGCTTTAAAACGTAAATGTAAACTACAATGCAGTGCAAAAGAACACCATTCTTTAGATAGTTCCTGAATAGCAAAAACTATAAACATCATTCTGGTGAGAACTAAATTCAAAGCAAAGCTTTGATGTGCTGTTCAGAGTGGAGAGCGCTCCAAATCACTTAAACCTTGGATTATCCAGGTCACATTTTTAGTTCATAGTAGCCCTAGTAGAAATGATGACATTAAAAAAATCTAATCATTGCTTTGCTGTCGTTCGTGCTGCTTTATTTCTTCATTGAGGTAACAGACAGGAAGGAAAAAAAGATTTCGCTGAACCAGAATAACAAACAAATGCAAATTGGTTTCCTGCTTCTATCCATTCTCTGCTTCCCTTGCTACAGGTTCTCTGAAGCTCCATGCTACCCTGCAAGAAAAATACTTCTTCCCACATATGGTGGGTAGATTTGGCACTAATCCAAAACTATGATGTATCTGCTGCAAGCTGCTGTCCCCCCCGCCCCTCTTACTATAGTACCCCCACCTTGGGGACAGAGACTTAGGGGAAAAAGAATCTTTTAGAGTAACATAGTCTACTGTAATGTAGAAACCTTGTTTATTGGTAACTGAAAGCAAAATACAACTTCACCTTCATTACTGTGGAATATTAGATGTTAGGGTCGTATTCTTGTGCTCTGCACTGAGACACTGATTATTGAAGTACAAATGAAAGGCAATACTGTGAAGGAGAGAGGAAATGTGTAATTTTAATGGTACCGAATCTTCTAGTTTCAGAAGTTTATCGGATGGCAATAAAATTTTACTTGGGTCGGTTACTTGAGATACAAAAGTCTTAGCTCAAGAGCGTCACCATTATTATTGTTAGCAAGCTTTAAGAACAATCCCTTTAGGGTTTTTTTTAAGTAATAGGAGCAGAAAAAATTAATCAGATATGTTCAGTAGGTTCTGATGCTTTTCTCTTTCCTTTGCACAATGGTATCTTAAAAAAGAGGGTGGGGTTGGCCAGCTTCTCAGCTCCTACTATGGAGTGCTCGGCACAGCTCCCGCAAAGGCCACTGGCTTCTGAGTGCCCTGACAGTCCCCCTGACCATGCCAGGAGGTGGGATAGGTTAGGAACGGCTGCACTGGCATGATTCTGACATGGCTGGACATGTTGCCTTTGGGGCTGCTTTGCCCCACTTTCAGGGTTCAAAATGGATACACTAGAACACAGACTTTGGCTTTTGGCATATAACCAAATGGTAAAAACAAAAGCCCCAAGGGTGAAATCCTGCCCCCCTTGAAGTCAATGGAAAATTCATCACTGGTTTCAAAAGAGGCCAGGATCTCACCCTAAGGAGCCAAATACTGAATTAAGCATTAACTACAGTAGGATTGCATAGGATGTGAGTCTGTGTAAAGTTTGGCCCTATACCTTAAGATGATGTAAAAAGCTTGCCCCCTGTGATTAAGGAGTAACCTCTTCTCATAAGGATTCTTAATGTGCTATTCTTATTATGCTGTCACAGTACAATCTTCTTTTGAGCTGCTTGCAGTGTGTATTTTGAATGAATGGTTAGAAAACTTTGCCTAAGCCTTAATGGGTTCATTGATATTGGACTGGAGCAGCCTTCCATATCATGTGACAAATACACGCGCAACCTATTTTGTTTGCTTAGAAATCCCCTCACTATGGTGATTATCTTATAAAAGAATCTTATATCATACACACAAAATGGTGGGTTAATGTTGGAATTTTAATTTAATGAGGATTTTCCTTCCTATTATGTTTTAGTCTTCATTTTTTGTGCATGGGGGTCAATTTAAAAACTCATGTTGAAAAGGTAAAATACAATGTTTCTTTCTCTTCGTTTTTTTTTTTTCTGTGTTTAGGGCTAGCATTAGAAATTGGTACCAGCAGCAGGCCAGATTCAGCTATGGGAATTCAGGCATGAAGTTGACCCCTCTCAATCATTTCCTATAGATGAGACATAGCACAAGCTGTGGTGAGTTGCAATGGATTCTTTAAAAATACAACACACTCTTTTGAAAACTACTTAATACCAACATGTAGGCTGTTAAAGCTGTCATTTTAAATGCTGTCTTTTTGGTCATTTTTAGTCAATAGGAGTACACAGCTGCCTTATAAGTCTGTCTTTTAAAACCTTTATTACCGCCGCACTGAAATGTAATGGCAATATAGTTTTGGAGGTGGTGTGAAGGCAGTACAATAGTAACATAAAAACCATGCATTGTTATGGACATGCGTATGCCATTGTTTATCATTTTTACCTTATGTATCTTTTTTTACTCTGCGGTGACTAAATATATCTCGTATGAGGAGTGCTTAGTGGGATTTTTTGGACATAAATCCTATTTTCCTTGGTTTGCTGCAGCAGGATTTAGATATTTTTGTTTGGTACCACTAGGAAAAGAAAGTGAAAGTGACAGTAAAACTGACCATCTGAGCTGAGTGAAGTGCAGAAAATAAATAAGCAGCATGAATGGTGAAAGGCAAATAAGATTTTAAAAGTTCTTGTAGTTTTACTAATCCTCCTAAGTGTCATTAGTAATGCAGGAAAGGAAGTTTTCTGAATATATCATTTTGATCTTGATGGTGTGTCTCTCTTTAAATTGATCCATTGGGCTTTATTTTAATTATATGGCTGGAGGGGAAAACCTACTTAATTGTGAGATGCCCAAAATGATCACAAACCAGATTTTTATTTCCTGTGAATGTTTTAATTTTATGAGTAACCACATTTCTTTTGAAAATGAGCCAGTGTTTATAAAAACATCAGAACTATATTTTTTTACCATAAATATGTTTGCTACTTGGCAAAGCTAACCCCCAGCCGACCATACCAGAAAGGTTTGTGAACTGCATCCTAGCAGCTTTGACAACAGCTACAAGTACAGCCTGCAACGTCTCCAAGATGAGTTGTCTGATCTGTGTGTTGTTACATCTCCTGTGGTTTTCTTGAGGACCATACCAGCTCTGCAAGATGCAAAATCTTCACATCCTCTGTGATTTGGTGGAAGCCAATGGTCTGTGTGTGTGTGATCCAGGTCCCACTCTGTGCCTGGGGAATCACGTAAGCTCCACTCAAGAAGAGAGGACCTGAGTCTTCTCAGCTTGAGCTAAAAAGCCAGATTCTGTACCTAGGAGCTGTAACAGACTCTTATCTTCTATAGATGAAGCATAAAGGGGTACACAAACACATGCCAGCCAGTGCGTTATGCTAACTTGTTTAATATAGTAATAATAAAATTCGCAGTGTGATAGGATGACCTCAGTATTGTTGGTGAGAGCTGCTGCAAAGGAATATGGGCTGGGCCTGAAATACCAAACAGTTGAGGCAATTTGTTTCTGCTTGGGGAGTGGAAAGGGTGAGAGAAGAAAAACTGCCCAGTGGTCTTTAGCATAGTATTGTAATCTGCTTAGCCAAAGGGGTTTTTCAAATAGGGAAACTGTGTGCTGGGTGGGTATTACAAATCAGGTCAGAAGTGTGGCAGTTGGGATACTGATGTTGCCGATGCATGGATATTTAATGAGAGCAAGGTTCTTGAATAGAATGTGGGGCTGTACTTCTGGTCAGGAAGGGTGGGGTTAGGGGAAGAATGAGTGGTGTTGGTTTCCAAGTTTGTGGGTTGCAGGCAAGTTTTGGCGGGAGGGATAGCTCAGTGGTTTGAGCATTGGCCTGCTAAACCCAGGGTTGTGAGCTCAATCCTTGAGGGGGCCATTTAGGGATTTGGGGCAAAAATTGGGGATTGGTCCTGCTTTGAGCAGGGGGTTGGACTAGATGACCTCCTGAGGTCCCTTCCCATCCTGATATTCTATGATTTGTGATCTTCATCATGAGCAGGCCATTCTGTGTCCATGTTAATAAGCACATCAGTCTTCATCTTCGTTTAGTAGGGAGCCAGTTTACATTGCATACTAGTCTGAATTCCTCCAATCCAAAAAAGAGCTCTTAAACTATGAACGGGTAGTTAGAACTATGCAAAGTTCAGCTGGTTGAGTTTGTAGGCTTTCTCTTGGACTAAACTTTCTTTGGCTTACATCCATATGGGTCACAAACTATGGGTTTTGCTTTCAGCTTTAAATAAACACAAAAAGAAAGGAGAAATTCAGATGAAGCTGCTGTTTAGGTTAAAATCACAGAGTCGTGTGGTTTTCATCCAAGTTTGCTAAGAAAAAAGCCCAGATTCACTCAGAAGATGTGTGAATTTTACCACACTCTTGATGGATCTGGCTGAACATCAAGTTTGTATTGAAAACCAGAAAAAGTCTGCATGGTTTTGATTTTGTAATGAAGGCATATCACATCTCTAAAGGTTGTAGCATCCAGATAAGATACAGTTTGCAACAAATCAGTGCATGGACGCTCTAATCGGAAGACATTTTTTACTGGCTTGTTCATGGAGAATTGCAAAAAACTCTCATCAGAAGTTTGGGAGTTTTCTTATTTTATTTTGAGATGGAGCAGTGATATGTTTAAATTAGGGCTGTCAAGTGATTAAAAAAATTAATCGCAATCAATTGCATGATTAAAAAATAATTGTGATTAATCCGCGCTGTTAAACAATAATAAAATACATTTATTTAAATATTATTGGATGTTTTCTACATTTTCAAATATATTGATTTCAATTACAACACAGAATACAAAGTGTACAGTGCTCATTTTATATTTATTTTTGATTAAAAATATTTGCACTGTAAAAAACAAAAGAAATAGTATTTTTCAATTCACCTTAAAAAAGATCCTCAAAGGGTTTCTTATCCTTCACGAATCTTAAGCTCAGTGTCTTACAATATTTCATAACAGTATAAAACCCTTAATTCTATCAGTGGCTCTTTCTTTTTCATTGGTATCCTTATAAACGTTCAACACAGTAAGCCATATACTGATCTTGGTTTCCCTGGGTATACCTACACTGTAAAAAAGACCCGTAGCAGCGAATCTCAGAACCCAGGTCAAATGACTCAGACGCACAAGCCTCGTGAGCGTATGGGACTAAAAATAGTCGTGATGACGTTGGGGCTCAGACTGAAGCCTGGGCTCTGAAATTTGGCGGGGAGGTGGGGGGTGGGTTTCATAACCTGGGCTCCAGCCTGAGCCTGAATATCTACGTTGCTGTTTTTATCTGTGTAGTGTGAGCTGCCAAAGTCAGCTGACCTGGGCACTGAGAATTGTTGACATGGGTCGGTCTTGCAGTGTAGATGTAGCCACCAATATAAATATGGAGTAGCTCAAAACTTTGTACGTGTTACCAGAGCTCAGATGTCAGCATTCTGGAGTCATAGCTGAGAGCTGTAAAAACATTCTGGATACTTACATGTAGAAGAGCATGATTTTAAAGTTTAGACCCTGATTGTGCAACTTTTACCCACGTTAATACCTACTAATGTGCGTTGTCTCATTGAGTTCATGCAAGTTCCGTGTAATCACACTCAAGAGTACTACTCTAAGGTGAGCAAAGTTTGCAGAATTGAGGTGTAGTGAGGTGCCTAGTAGCGGCAAAATCTGTCTGCATTTGCTTGTTCTTTTTCAACGGTAGCAAAAAGCTGGTATACGATATGAAGTCATACGAGGTTTCCCAGTTTGAGAAGAAAGATCTGTCATTTATCAGATGACATTTCACTGCTTCCTTAGTGGCATTGAGTCACTACGTTGTAAATCCTACCAATAATTTTTTTTAACATGAATGATAACGTATAGCATTCCACAGAGAAAAGCATGTTCCGTTCACAGGGATACAATCAACTCCATGCATAGTCACCTAGAATACGGACATCATTGGTATGTGTAAGGGTCTGGCAAAACCCCCCAGCTCAAAATGGGGAACCACTGATCTTCTCCTGCCCACCAGAAAAGGATGCCTTTTGTTTTTCCTCACTTTTGATTACAGAACTCCCGAAAGCAGCATAGATAGATCAAAAGTTGGTAGAATTATCACAAAACACTAGGACATATTGTATTGCCTGTTCTAGAGGGAAAATCTGGAGCAGAAGATAAATGTGTAGCTAGTTTAGATAACTTGAGTTTTCAGTGCTGCACGTGAATAATATGTATAAAAAACACACACACATTATGTAATGTATAATCTCCACATCAACTGTGTAGTTTGGCGAAATGTGATTTTTACACATCTGTTGTCCAACTGAAAAATGCAGCACTTGAGAATATTAGGTGGATTTTAAATATTTCCAGGAGGATATGGGGACCATAAAATGATGGCTGTGTTAGAGTCCAATATAGTGTCTCATTTGTGATAAATGCAATCTTACCCCAATATTGCTACCATTATTAGAGAAACTTGGTCTAGTTGTTTGAGCTTAGAACTGTTGGTTGTTACAGGCTCTCTGGCTTTGAGTAGATCACATAACCTCTCTGTGTCTCAGCTTTATGATTTTTAAACTGAGGAGAGGGATAACATTTCCAAAAATTCCAAAATTTCCAAAAGTGAGTAGTGATTTTTGGTTGACAATATGAGGCAGGCTAAAAGGAACCTAATATTCAGAAGAGGAGTGCTCAGCTCTTTCTGAAAGTCGGGCCCCTTTAAAGTACCTCAAGTTGGCTCTGCAACATTGATTTCTTCTGTCTCAATCAGAACTTTGGCCTTTTTCCTTGTGAGTTAAATGGCAATGTTTTCTAGACAGTGATCAAACTATTCTTGCCTAATCTGATCAAAATAAATCAAAAGGGTAGTGACAGAGAGAGAGAGAGGGAGAGGTAGTGTGTGTGGTTTGTGAAAATGATTTGGCGCCTGAGATTTTAATCCAAATAAATGTTGTATCTGAACTCTTTGATTCAAGTAATTAGTGACTTAGGTTGCATATATAAATATTGGTTAATGTTTCTAAACGGGCTGTAGGAAGGATTGTGATTATACTGGTGGTGATTGTCTACTGACATTTTAAAATGATTTTTTTTTTTTTTTAGAAAAGTTGAGTATAGAGTAAAATCATTGTCCAGTCTTTTTTTCTGAACAGGATTTG